TTTAAGTGTAGAAGTATGTTAAATCATAAAATTCCTTGTACTGCTTACATTTTAGTCAGGGTGACTGTAGAAAGGTAGTGTAATTGTAAAGTAAGTTTCCAAGATGAATGAAATTGCCTGTTGTGTGATAGGTCTGTCAGGCAATGACCTCTGAAAATAGCAAAACCAAATACTTGTAAGTCATCGTTCAAGGAAAATGATAAGCAATTCCTTGAGTTTGCAAATGAAATCAAAGATAGTCTTCTATTCAGATGGGCCCTTTTATGCTATCTGTCAATCTCAGAGGAAGGATTAAAGTGCTTCTCAGTAGTAGTACTGCCCATCACTTTCATGAGCTACACAAGGAATTACTATTTAAATGACAGAAGGAAATACAACCAATTGCCAATGTCCAATGCCTATGAGATTTTATTGGCCTTTAGGGCAGTGATTACACTGCTTCTATGTGTTCCATTCCATATCCACCTGCAATTTCTTAGATCTAATTCATGAAATGAGTCAGTGAATGTAAGACAACATTATAGGTTACAGATAAGATCTCAGTAAATAGTATGTCATTTAAGAATAAGCTAATCAAAAATAGAGAAGCTTACCACGTTCCTGGATTGGCAGGATCAACATTATCAAAATGACCATATTACCAAAAGCAATATACAGATTCATTGCAATCCCAATCAAAATCCCAACAACATTCTTCTCAGAAAAGATGATTCAAAAGTTCATCTGGAATCACAAAAGACTACAAATAGCTAAAGCTATCCTGAAAAATAGAAATCAAGCTGGAAGAATCACAATTCCAGACCTTAAGACATACTACAGAGCAGTGGTTATCAAAACAGTCTGGTACTGGTACTGAAACAGAGGAGAAGATGAATGGAACAGAATAGCAACACCAGAAGGAAGACCACACATGTATAATTAATCTTTGACAAGAAAACTGAAAATAATTCAGGTAAAAATCATGGTCTCTTCAACAAATGCTGTTGGGAAAGCTGGATAGCAGCTTGCAGAATTAAGAAGCAAGCTCCACACCTGTCACATTATACAAAAATTAGCTCTAACTGGATCAAGGACCTAAATCTACACCCAGAAACCATCAAACTATTAAAGGAAAACGTAGGAAACACACTCCAGATAGAGAAACAGGGAAACACTTCTTACAAAATATGCCAAAAGCAAAGGCAATCAAATCCAAAATGAACAAATGGGACCACATCAAACTAAAAAGCTTCTGTACAGCAAAGGAAACAATTAACAAAGTGAAGAAGCAATCAACAGAATGTGAGAAATTTTTGCACACTACACAAGTGATAGGGGACTAATATTCAGGATTTACAAAGACCTTCAGAAATCCAGGGACAGCCAAACAAAACAAAACACCCCTGTAACAAAATGATCAAAGGAACTGAACAGAGATTTTTCAAAAGAACAGATTCAAATGGCAAACAGACATATGAAAAGATGCTCAGGCTCCCTAGCCATCAAAGAGTATTGTAATAGGTTTGAAATCAGGAAACCTGGGCCCGGCGCGGTGGCACAAGTGGTTAAGGTCCTCGCCTTACACGCCCGGGATCCCATATGGGCGCCGGTTCTATCCTGGCAGCCCCACTTCCCTTCCAGCTCCCTGCCTGTGGCCCGGGAAAGCAGTGGAGGACTGCCCAAAGCTTTGGGACCCTGCACCCGCATGGGAGACCCAGAAGAGGCTCCTGGCTTCGGATCGGCATAGTATCGGCCGTTGTGCTCACTTGGGGAGTGAATCATCGGACGGAAGATCTTCCTCTCCGTCTCTCCTCTCTGTATATTCGCCTTTCCAATAAAAAATAATAAAAATAAAATCTTTAAAAAAAAAGAAATCAGGAAAAGTATAAGGCATTCAATTTTGCTTTTCTTTTCATTCTTGTTTGTTTTCAATTTTTGTTTTGTTTTGGTTTGGTTTGCTATTCAAGATCCCTTGAGATTTCAATTTTAGATGAATTTTTCCACTTCTGCTGTATAAATATTTGGGGTCTTGGTGGGGATTGAATTAAAATTGTAGGTAACTTTCAATAGTACTGATACCCTAAATTGTCTTTTGGTATATGTCTTTATATTTCTATTTGTTCTTAACAGAGATTACAAGAAAGAATTAAAAATGGGGAAAGAAACTGAATAGTTTTTACGTCTGCCTCAATGCAAAACATTGTTTTCAGTACTAAGGTCTTTCGATTTTATTCAATCGGTTAAATAAAGACTTTGCAACTGAAAATTTATTTGAAGGAGACTTGCTGTTAGAGAATTTTTTAAATTCATAATCATCTTTTCTAATATCTCTTTCCTTGTCACTTTGTGACTCCAAAAATATGCATAAATCAATATCTGACTTTTTATATTCATAAATGGTATGCACTGGGTGACTCTACACTCTGCAGACTAGAACAACAGCTTTTTATCTAGCACTCTTCCTCTCATCCACACTAAATGTGCCTTGGTCACCATATTCACTGGGCCAGACAAAAGCAAGCACCCAATACCTACCAGTTCAGCTCTTAGAACTTAATAGTTTATTATGCTACTGAATTCTTCCAAATCTATAATCAGCTTGAACAAACAGGCATTATCTCTTCTCAAGTTTGCTGTCACAAACCAATTTTAAGTGGCCATTTTAGCATTCTTTTCTTATTTTGGGGAGCACTCACAGCATATGTGAATTCACAGCTGTGGTACTGCAGTCCAAACAGAGACAGGTATGCACTAGAGTAGTGTTCTTATTTCTACTTAAGAATGACTGCATTTGTTGCCTTTTTTTTTTTTTTTTGGCCCTGATGGAGTTGCTTCTCAGGTCCCAAAATTATTTACTTTACTTTCAAATAATTTAAGAACAATTACTTCTGAAGGAAAATAAAATATTTTTCACATATTTTTTATGGAGATGCATGAACTGTTTCACTATTATGAATAAAATTGGCATCACTGTGTTAAGAGTCAAAGCAAACAAGAGGTGCAATGGCTCAGTGGCTAAAATCCTCATCTTGCACATGCCGGGATCCCAACTGGGCACTGGTTTGTGTCCTGCTGCTCCATTTCCCTTCCATCCCCCTGCCAGTGGCCTGGGAAAGCAGTTAGAGGACAGCCCAAAGCCCTGGGAATCTGCACCCATGTGGGAGATCTGGAAGAAGTTCCTGGATCCTGACACTTGGTTCCAGATTGTCTCAGCTCTGGACATTGCAGCCACTTCGGGAGTGAACTAACAAACAGAAGATCTTTCTTTCTGTCTCTGCTTGTCTCTGTACATCTGCCTTTATAATTAAAAAAAAAATCTTTTAAAACTAATAATAAGGACCCGGGAGTGATGGTGAGCATTTGGTGTAGCGTTTAAAGTCCTTGCCTTGAACACGCCGGGATACCATATGGGCGCTGGTTCTAATCCCAGCTGCTCCATTTCCCATCCAGCTCCCTGCCTGTGGCCTGGGAAAGCAGTCAAGGACAGCCCAAGGCTTTGGACCCTGCACCTGAAAGGGAGACCCGGAAGAAGTTCCTGGCTCCTGGCTTCACCAGATTGCCTCAGCTCCAGCTGTAGTAGCTGCTTGGGGGGTGAATCATCTGATGGAAGGTCTTCCTCTCTGTCTCTCCTCCTCTCTGTATGTCTGCCTTTCCAATAAAAATAAATCTTCAAATAATAATAATAATAAAACAAGAGTTCTCAGATGAAGGAGTAAGATCTCTAACAAATGCCTTTAAACGTCATCATAAATTAACCAACAATGATCAAACTCAGCATCTTACATATTGGTTATAACCCAGAAATTCCTTAGAGATTAAGTTGCATTTCTCTTCTCTTGTTGTAACATGCAATCCAGCCAGTCAAGTGCATATAGAATTCTTGATCTATTGTGGACAGATCAGCCCTTGTCTCTTCCTATCCAAACCTAAGGGAGTGAAGTGGCCTCCTCCACAGTTTTAAGAGTAGGACAGGCTGTGGTTATGTGGGCTAAGCTACTGCTTACGATGTCTGCACCCCTTATCAGAGCCAGCTTCTGTGTCAAGTCTCCTGCTAGTGCACACTCTAGCAGGGAGTAAGTGATGGCTCCATTATTACAGTCCCTGCTACTTTCAGGGGAGAGTCAGATGAATTCAGGACTCGTGACTTTGGCCTGGCTATTTTAAACATTTGCAAAGTAAATTACTGGATAGACATAATCTTTGTCTCCCTGTCTTTGTCTGCCTTCAATAAATAAAAAAGAAAGAGAGAGAAAGAAATTCAGAGCCAGGCATTTTAATTATTTTACCAATTATGAATTTAATATGTAAATGCCATTGAAATATCTCTCTGCTTTCTATTGTCTACAGATGTCCTATGTACAAAATCCAATTTTTCAGGCACCCACTGTTAAATTAAGACAGATTTTTGTCATTTTCTGTGTGACCATTCCTTAAATCATTACAATGTTATCAAACTTCAACATGCACACAAAGGCTCTAGCAAAACTTTTATGCTAAGAATATGTGCACTGCTTTTCCTTTTAAATTCATTCAGTAGACTATTATAAAATATTGTTATAGAATGTAGTGTTTTGCTGATTTCTCTATCTTGCTCAATTTTGATCTGTACTTCTGAGAAGCAGCAGTTGGAATTCCAGATTCTTCTATAAACAGTAAAAGGAAAGCAATGTGAGAGAAATCACCAAACCAGAAGGAAATAGAAGCAACAAACAAAAGAAGGGAACTGTTCTAGAAGGAAGAGAGGTGAGGAACAGCCATGTACATCATCTACAAAACAGCAGCCTGACACAACCGGAAAGCATTTCAAACAGCACCAGAATAGTCCAAGCTTATCTGCATCATTGCTACAACTGAAGATGTGTTCATATGTGTCGCTGCAATAGCATATTAGAAACAAGATGAGCCTATCTCATGAGAAGTGAAACACAAAGGAGCAAATTTGTGTTATCACCAGTTGAAAACTGCTCCAAGGAGTCAGCTGGAAACCTAAAGCTCAAAACTGAAATACTGCTTAGACTTACCAAAACAGGTACTGCACTCCGCACTCTGCTGGGGTGAGCCACATGAAGGTGCTCGTTGACCTTTGTTCAGGGTATTTTGTCAGGACTTCTGAAAACTCGCCATCCAGGACCAAGGGAAGAACTGTCCCAAGAGAGCAAGGTTCATTCAAAGCATGCACTTGCTTCTATTTCTTCCTCTGCAATTCTAATATATTCCCCTTGAGTCTGTTTCTAAGAATTCAAAAGAGTTGCAACAAAAGCTACTCATTACATTTTCAATTTATGAAGTGGAAAAACATATGTAATTTTTAAATCCCTAAACACCTTTTTTTTTTTAAATTTTTTTTTTCTCGGGCCCGGCGCGGTGGCGCAAGTGGTTAAAGGTCCTCGCCTTGCACGCCCGGGATCCCATATGGGCGCCGGTTCTAATCCCGGCAGCCCCGCTTCCCTTCCAGCTCCCTGCCTGTGGCCTGGGAAAGCGGTCGAGGACAGCCCAAAGCTTTGGGAACCTGCACCCGCGTGGGAGACCCAGAAGAGGCTCCTGGCTTCGGACCGGCATGGCATCGGCCCGTTGCGCTCACTTGGGGAGTGAATCATCGGACGGAAGATCTTCCTCTCCGTCTCTCCTCTCTGTACATCCGCCTTTCCAATAAAAAAATAATAAAAATAAATCTTTAAAAAAAAAAAAATTTTTTTTCTCAGGGATAATGAAATAGTGGGTTTTGGGAGAAAAACATTTGGTGCATCCAACATGTAAGACAGTCCCTCTGTTTTAATACACATCCACAAGTCCAATTAGGACAAAGTACACAGTGTGAACAATTTTTGTTAGCTTTGGATTCCTAAAAGGAGGGACCTGTATTTCTACGTAATGGAATCTAGTGACTTTCAATTACAATCCCACTAAATATCAAAGAATTGCCTGCACCTTGAAAGTTCTTGAACTTCCTTGAAATTGCCCTTTAAAAACGGGTCACGGGGTGGCTGCTAGAAGGTTTTCTTCTCGATTTACAACTCATGCGTAGATTTTAGGAGAGTGTAATTACCAGAACAATCCTTAAACAGATTGAATTGCTTCCTGGGTGTCAGGTTGGTTGCAGACTGACCTTCACATGGAGCAAATCAACCCTCAGTCCTGCGCCCTCTCCTGATGGTGGCAGCAGCTGTGGCGAGTCCTTCTCCTTTGGGCACACATGGGCACACATGGGCAAAGGAGGCTGGTGTTGCTCCTCCTTTGGTGGTTTTATGTCAGTTCAGAGAAGCAGAAATCCCTTAAACACAAAACAAAACTTATTAAAAGAGCAGTTCTGCATCACGCTATGAATCACTTGCTCTGAAAATGAGCCAAGCAGAACAGTTTCTAAATCAAGTACTTATTCTTTCCTGAAAAAAGCTAAAATAATTTTTTGTGAGGCCACCTGCAGCACTGGCATCTCACATGGGCACTGTTGGGAGTCCTGGCAGCTGCATTTCTGATTCAACTGCCTGTTCATGTGCCTGAGCAAACAACAGAACACAGTTTAAATCCTTGGGCCCTTGCTTTCATGTAGGAAACCCAGATGAAGTTCCTGGCTCTAGGTTTTGGCCTGGTCCAGCTCCAGCCACTGCAGCCATTTAGAAAGTGAATCAGCGACAGATGACCTAAATCTTGTCTCTTCCTCTCTCTTCTTCTCTCTCTCCCTCTCTCTCCCTCTCTCTCACTCTCTCACTCTGTGACTCTGCAACAATCCTTTTAAAAAAATCACTTGTTTTGTATGAAGCCATGGTAGGTGTTTGGCCCTTAGGCAGGAATCGGTATTTCTGTGTTTAAGAAATTGTTTATTCTAAACCATTTTCACTCTACAAAATGTGTTTCTTTAACTGACATAATTTTTTTTCTTCTCACCAAGCTTCACATATTTAGTTGTTAAATCCTTCATTTTTCTCTGTAAATGAAGCAGTCTATTATATTCAATGTTAAATAGTATTTGGATAATCAGTGAGTGTGAATAAATTCTATCAAAAATGTTCTTGGACCGTAACTTGGTAGGCCATTATAACTGTCTAAACACGTATGCAAGTACAAATCCACACACAGCCATGTGACAGTATGAACACAAACATATATACATTCCTACAACCTTTGTTTCCATTTCTTCGAATCACACAAAAGCCAAATAAAATACAAGCTTCCAAATGCTTTGCGGAGGAAGAAAATAAGGGCAGGGCAGGCATTTGTAGCAATTAGGCTAGAGAACACAAATGCACCTGATTTTTCTTAATTGAAATCAGCCCTCCTACCTCCCTCACCACTGAGCCATTGTGCCATTCTAACCATGTTTTCAGAGTAAGAGACCTTGGACCCTGCACAATGTTTCAACTTGCTAATCCTGCCCTTCAAGGCACCAGGATCCCACATGGATTCTGGTTCGTGTTTCAGCTGCTCCACTTCTCTTCCGGCTCCCTGCTTGTGGTCTGGGAAGGCAGTGGTAGATGACTCAAAGCCTCAGTACTCTGTACCTGTGTGGGAGACCCAGAAGAGGCTCCCACCTCCAGATTTTAGATTGGCTCATTTCTGGCCATTGCAATCACCTGGGGAGTGAACCAGAGGATGGAAGATCTTTCTCTGTCTCTCCTTCTCTCTGTAAATATGCCTTTCCAATAAAAATAAATTAATTTTTAAAAAATAAGCACCTTGACCTTCAAGGATAATTATATCCTTACATCCTCTTATACAAATGTATTTGTAAGTACATACTCTTCAGAGTTTTCTTTTTCTTGTGATCTTGCAGTATGCATGACAAAACCTGAGGCATCTGACAGGGAGCCAACCACCTGGGAAGATCAACTTTAACAGATGAGGCACCAAGGGAATTAGCTCATTGTAGGTACCAGGGCAAAAACCTGGGGAACGGTCACAGATGGCAGATGATGACAACCCTGATGACCCAGGCCCATCCGTCTGTTGGTTCTGTTTAGAATTGATCTGCCTTGTGATGGATTTTTGCATTTTTAAAGATATGCTTGTTTATTGGAAAGTCAGAAAGAGAGTATGAGAGAGCTCTTTTACTGGTAGATTCCTCAAATGGCTTCCATGGCTTGAACTGGGCCAGTCTGAAATCAGGAGCTAGGAGTTTTATTCACTTCTCCCATTGAGGTCAGGGGCCTGAGCACTTGAGCCATCCTTCTCTGCTTTCCTGGGCCATTAGCAGGGAGCTGAATGGACGTGGAACAACCAAGACTAGAACCAGTACCCATATGGGATGCCAGCACCATGGGTGAAGGTTTAGCCTCAAGTGCCACAGCACCCACCCCCAACAGATTTTTAATTTTTAAGACAACTAAGCAACTCTGTAACTGGTGACTGCAATGTGCAACTTATGATTAGAAAGCCAATTTAAAACCCAATGTGTCATCCTTTCCTGTGCTTGTTTTTCCTCTTGGTAGCCACGCCTTCCTTGCTGACATCAATAGGAGACAAGCGAGGGTCCTGTTGGTACTAGTGTCTGTCTCCCTCTCCTGTTCTTCCCTCTCCTCTCACACTCCTGAGTGGATCATGCTCTGCTCTCCCCAAACATTCTGAGTGTGCTGCTGCTGTCCTTCCCAGCCTTCACAGAGGCTGCTTATTTTCCATAATGGAAAATGCCTATCTACTCATCTCAATGTACCTGGTGTGCCCAGAGTAGTCTCCAGATGCCTCTAGCTTCCTACTCCCCTGAAGGGCTAAAGACATGCTGGTTCCCCACAGTCCTTATCCCACAGCACTGCTTCTTAAACCCACCTCCCTCCCCACACACTGAGCTCTGAAAGAGCAGCAGCCATAACTCCTCTTCCGTGTCTCCCAGCCCCTAGAAGAGCGCCGGCCACACATCTTGTGCTGAGTAAACACTTGTTCAAAGAAACCAGAGATGGCAACAGCTCTCAGACGAGAGCGTTAAGATTGCTGAGTTAGGATTACAGGGGTTTTTTTTAATTCTCCTTTATGTAAACCGGCAAAGTGACTTTCACAGAAATAGCTAATTACCGTGATTGCATTGAGTGTGAAAGTATGAAAAACAGCACCGGGAATCAACAGAGGAGCATTCTGGTGATTTCTTTGCCAACAGCTCATTAGGTAAGGCAAGATAAGCAACACAACCTTTCTGAACAGTGGTGTCCTTTTATGAAACACAGAGAAAAGCCATGCATCTCCGATTTATAGTACAGGCCGTTCCTAAACACCAAGTATAGTTCCTAGGTTGGAAAGTACTTTGTGATGTACTATGGTGAGGATGAGCACCTGCTTTGGAGTCAGAGTCCATAACACTTGTCTATGTGACCTTTGTCATGCGGATGATGCCTCTGAGTCTCCATCTTCCCACCTGTAAAATGAGAAATAACAGCATGAACCTCACGAGGTTGCTGTGAAAAGCGCTCCCTATAGTCACTACAAATAGCAATCCCTAACAAATGGTAACTTTCCAAAAAATGCAGTTTACAGTTTGTCGGATTACAGGCTGTTAGTATTCATTGATGAGTTACTGACTTTCCCTTTTAGATCAGTAGGCAAGACAGTCACGTTAACTTGGCAAAGGGATCCCATATTCCTTCTTCTCTTGCCTGGCCTCTCCTGCCACAGCAGTAAACTTTGCTGTCACGAGCAAGAGTCCAAGCAAGAGATTGTGGATTCTCAGACAGCACATAGCCTCCGGCTCAGTCTGCTTTTCTCCCTGGATCCTCAGACACCTCCCTTTAAAGGTGGGGTCCCTGTGACAGGCAGGGGAGACAATTCCCAGGGAAGCACAGGTCTTCTCCACTTGCTACCAATTGACATCACGGAGCACCAACAAGTGGCCCAGGAAGTTCTGACTTGCAGTGTGGGTAGTCCTCTTCGCATTTCCCCAAGCTTGGACACAGCTTGTTTTTACTAATCCAAATCAGTACTTCCACTTTTAAATTATAAGACTTAAGCACAGAAAACAGAAGGCAATTGCAACAAGAATTTGGGAGATCCAATCTTCTAAATGCTTTGGCTCCATGATTTTTTTTTCTAAGAGTCATCTATTAGCTCCCTGTCTCCTAAACCCTGGCTTAGGAACAAGGCCTAACTTCACACCCACAGAGAGGAGACTGTGCTGGTGTCCCAACTACCTAGGGGTTCTGACTTCTAGGATGCATTAGTGGTCCCGCTGGCATACCATCCTAGCAAGTACAACTCATCCTCAGCTGCAAGGTAGGGTCTCCGCAATGCTTAATAGTGCATTCTTCCAGACCCAAATCACTGCTGTATGAGTCCAAATTTATATCTTGAAAAGAAAAAAATTTTTTCAACAAAAACACCATTCTACTCCCACTTTCTTTTTGTGTGGGCAACATACTTGTATACCTAAGGTGCTCCCCACTCAATAACTGTTGCTTCTAGAATAAATAGAAGGGCTAGACCCAAAAACAAAGCCTGGCTTCCCTCTAGAGATGACGTCTGTACTCAGCAGAGCCTCCCTGGCACCTTCTAATGTAATCTCTCACTTTGAAATAAAGATTCAGGCCCCATCACCTGGCACTGTCAATGACCTGGTTATTCCTCACTCACATTTCCAAAGATCAAATTTCTACGCTCAGGAACCTGGTACACTGTCAAGAAGCAAGTCAATCTCCACCTAATAACAAAGAAGAAAAAGAACTGGGCCAAGTATTTCCTCATTTTTGTTCCTATTTAGAAATAGTTTTAGATATACCTTACCTAAGACTTTTTAAAAAAATCTGTACACTCAAGAAATGTTTTCAAACACTCTTACCATTTTGATGTACCAACTGTGACAGAAAGTGTCTCAAATCATATTTTCCCTTGACATTCTGGGGCCTTTTCCAAACAAGACACATGAGGAAGCTGAAAAGAAAGATTTCTGCCAACAGAAACTGTTGCTTCCCAGAGAAAGTTCATCCATCGGGAGACACCCGTAACTTTGTTAGCAAAGAAAGCTGAATACATAGTGGTATCAGTGTTGAATGTTGGTGGAAGAAAATCAACTCTAGTATTGGCTGAAGCTAAGACTTGGGTTCAATCCCTGGTTCTGCCACTTAAAGGCTAAATGAGCTTGAGCAAACTGTAC